TGGGGCTCAACATTCCGTGCTACTTGAGCCTCTGGGCAAGCTGAAAGATAAAAAGTCTCCAGTCCTGGGAGCCACAGGTCGGAGACAATTCCCATGGACTACCCGAAGAACTGTGGACTTGGGAGTGGGACAGGTAACCCACTCATTCCTGGTAATTCTTGAGTGTCCCATGCCCCTGCTGGGAAGGGACCTCCTCACTAAGATGGGGGCCCAGATTGTTTTCTCCCCCGAGGGACCAGAAGTCACCCTTTTCAAAGATTTTACACTCATATTATCTCTAAAATTAGAGGAAGAATATAGGCTGTTTTCTCAGGGACCGAGACCTGAGGACATGCAGGAGTAGATAGCCCAATAATCCCAGGCTTGGGACAAAATTGGAGGCATGGGACTGGCTCAACAGGTCTCTCCTGTGATTGTGGAGCTCAAGGCCAGTGCCACTCCTGTGGCAGTTCACCAATATCCCATGAGCCAAGAAGCGAGGTCAGGGATCCAACCCCATATTCAAAGGCTGGTAAAACAAAGGATTTTGGTTCCATGCCATTCTCACTGGAACAGCCCACTCTTGCCTGTTAAGAAACCAGGCACAAGAGAGTACAAGCCAGTATAAGACCTAAGAGAAGTAAACAAAAGGGTACAGGATATTCATCCAGCAGTGCCTAACCCTTACAATCTGCTAAGCTCCCTCCCACCTGAGAGAAAATGTCATAGTGTTTTGGACTTGAAGGATGCCTTCTTCTGTCTGAGGCTATACCTGTCCAGCCAGCCTATTTTTGCCTTTTAGTGGAGGGACCCAGAAAGTGGACAGACGGGCCAACTGACTTGGACCTGGCTGCCCCAAGGGTTCAAGAATTCACCCACTCTGTTTGATGAGGCTCCCCATAGAGACCTGGCCCCCTTCAGAGCTGAAAACCTTCAGGTGACTCTCCTACAGTATGTAGATGATTTCTTGCTGACAGGAGAAAACCTAGATGAGTGCCTGGTTGGAACTAAACGACTTCTCCAAGAACTGACTAAGTTAGGCTATAAAGCCTCTGCAAAAAAGGCCCAGCTCTGCAGAAAGGAAGTCACTTACTTAGGCTACACTCTGAAAGGAGAGCAGAGGTAGCTTATTGAGGCCAGGAAAAAGACTGTCCCAAAGAATCCCTGATTTAAACACGAGCCCATTTCTTTGACCTTGGCCGTAATTTTGGGCCTGGGAGTGGTTGCTGGAGTTGGAACAGGGACTGCCACCCTCATATAGGGACCCCAACATTTTCAAATGCTCAGGGCTGCCATGGATGAAGACCTGCGGGCATTAGAACAGTTTATACCAAAATTAGAAGAATCCTTGACATCCCTTTCTGAGGTAGTATTACAGAATAGGAGAAGGTTAGATTTGTTGTTTTTTAAAAGATAGAGGTCTGTGTGCCACTTGGCTCAAAGAATGCTGTTTTTATGTAGATAATTCTGGGGTTATCAGGGATTCAGTGAATAAACTTAGAGAGAGATTAGGTAAGAGGCAAAGAGACCGTGAAGCACAACAAGGATGGCTTGAAAGCTGGTTTGGCAGATCCCCCTGAATGACCACTCTTATTTCTTCTTTATTAGGGCCCCTTTTGATTTTACTTTTGCTTTTGACTCTGGGGCCTTGTGTGTTAAACAATTTAGTTGCTTTTGTTAGAGAAAGGGTCAGTGCTGTCCAGATTTTGATGCTTAGACAACAATATCAGTCCCTCCATCATCAGAATCTAGATGATTATGATGACATGGCCACCTAAGTTTCTAAGATTAGAACTTACAAAAAGAAAAAGTGGAGGATGAAGGAATGGAAATTTTTCACTTGGCCTCTAGCTGAACTTGGTCCGCTTAAAAGCCATAATGTCAGCACAAACATGTTCTGTTGAGACAGACTGTCCCCACTACCAAGAACTTGGCTGACCACAAGAAGAGATGGTCTTGATAAACAGTTATGACAAAAGCAGGAACAGGATCCCTTGTACCCTAGATAGAGCCTGACCGTACCTTGAACCCTGTGCTTGCGAGAAATAGAACTTGTCAAATTAAATTAGCCAATCATAGAGTGACCCTCTATGCTTTACCCCAGATACCATTTGAATACCCCAATGATGTGTGTTCCCTCCTTCCCCTCCCCTCTCCCCCGCCTTGGTTTGCAAGTTGTGTGATTTGGTGACTCGGGGCTGATCTTCTCTACCCCTGTGTGGGATACGAGTAAGCCCCAGCGTGCTGATTCTGAATAAATGCCTCTTGCTGTTTGCATCAAGCCGTGCCTCTCAGGAGTGATTTGGTGCTGTGTTTGTATTTCCCGGCTAACCGAGTGGGGTCCTCCGCCTGGGGGGGGGGTGTCTTATAACAAAGGAAGCAATTATTAACTCAGAGACTCATAATGGGTCAAAGTACCAAGAACAAGTGAGTATTGAGTGCTTAGCCTTAACAGGACACTGACATCACTCACCCCCATCAAGGCCCATGGAGTGTCTGTCATGGAAGAAGGAAGTGGGGAACTGGAAAGCTCTAGAGAATGGGAAGAGTGCTCTGAAGTGCTATCTTCTGGACATGGACCTGCACAAACTTGGACCCTTCAGCATTCCATCATGGGCCAGGGAATGGAGGTGTATTGATTATGATGTCTTACCCCAACCCCCAGGAGGTGTTGATTTTTTCCGTGATGTAGTTATTGGCAAGTTGCCCACACTACAGTTAAGTAACCTACCGATGCCTGTTCAAGATTCTTGCTTGAAGTCATCTGGTTGTTCATAGCCTCTTTTATGTCATGGGTCCTTTTTTTACCAGAAACATTTGAAGTTCTTTATCTGGCATTTGACCTATTTCAGGATCTTTGGGTTCCATCGTTGAAGAATCATAACCTTACGGAAGAGTGACATTGCTTTGCTTTTTCATGTTCTTTGCATTTCTACGTTACAATCTTTTGATTTGAATACCTCTTCGTATACTCTCATTGAACAGCCTACTCTTGGAGGCTAAATCTCCAACATCGCTTTGCGAAGAAGAAAAACCGAAACACTAAATTTCCGTATCAGCAAGAGCATCTAATCATACATTCTATTAATATATCACAAATGATTATAAAACTGAAAGTGAAAATGACTGTAGAATATATTATGGAAACAAAATTATTTACAGTAAGTGAGAAAATACTAAATGAGATCATGGAAGAAGATGCTGTCAGAAACTGTAGGAACCGATGAATATCTTCAGCAGTGGAGCAGAACATAAAACCAACACAGAAAGAGCAGTACCCTTAACGTAGATTAGTAATGAGATAATCGGGGGAAAAAGCAGGGGGACATTCTCAATAACTTCCAAAAGCCAGAGGTGAAAAACTTCTACAGTGAAAGCTTTAAGACACTGAATAAATTGGAAAGATAATATAGAAAATAGAATGGCTTCCCATGCTCACGAACAGACAGAGTTAATGTGGCAAAATTGACTGCTATCAGCAAAAGATGTCTACAGATTTAGTACAATACTCTTCCAACTCCCAGTGCCGTTCTTGGCAGCACTAGAAATGATAACCCTAGATTTCACTTGGAAGCTCAAAAGACCCTGAACAGCTAAAGAAATGCTTACAGAACGAGCAATACTGGAAGTATTACAGCACCTAAGAGCAAATTACATCAGAGTCCCAGAAGAAAAAGCAGTGGGTACTGGCACAAAGACAGATACATGAACCAATGGAACAGTATAGCAGACCCCAAATAAAGCTACACATATATAGCCACCTGGTTTTTAACGAAGGCAGGAGAAAAGATAGCCTCTTTAACAGCAGTGCTGAGAGAACCAGATTTTCACACAAAGAATGAAGTTAGATTTTTATTTTCCATGTTGTATTTTTTTAATTGAAAATTACTCAAAGACCTTAAAACTTGAAACTGTAAAACTTCAAGAGGATAATATAGGGCAAACACTTCAAGATGCACCATAGCCAGAGATGTTCTGAAAAGAACTCCAATAGCACAGGAAATAATCCCAATAATTAAGGCAAACTTTACTAGGAACAGGATACTAAATGATGTTTTTACTTACACATAGAATAGATTTAAAACTATGTATTTGTGTGTTTATATGTGTATTTGCTTAAATGTGTGTGTTTATAGGTCATGAAACTACAAAAGGGATCTGGAGAGGGATGAATGCTTAAAGAAGGTAGGAGGAAATCAAGTAATTGATAGAACACATGTAATAAAAAAGCAGAAAGGGGAATTACTGAAGGCAGAAACTGTAGGCAGTTAGGGGAGGCGAATAAGCGAGACTGAAGTATAATGCTTCAGATGTGAGAAGATGCCGCGATGAAGCCCGTTACTTTGCATGCTAGCCTGAAAAATGGATATTTTTTTAAAGATTTGTTTATTTTATTTGATATGTATGAGTGTTTGCTTGTATGTCTGCATATGTGCCACAAGTATGAACTGAATTGGCGTTACAGACTATCGTGTGCTGCTTTGTTGGTACAGGTCAGTGACCCCAGATCCTTTGCAAGAGCAAGTTTTCCTAACTGCCAAGACATCTCTTTAGCTCCATCACCAATTTTTAAAAGTTAAAAAATATAATCCATGAAGAAGATGAGAAGTTTCTCCGAAGGGAAGAGATGGTTCATGTAAACATTTGGCAAAAAGGAGATCACATTCCAGGTAGAGGATACTGCCTCTCAGAGTCCTTTATTCTCATATTTCATGAGGCAGTTTCTTGGAGAGGATGACAAGGAAAATGAATGAATAAAAGTCAGGCAAAGAAGACATTTTAAAACTTTCATTTCTGAGCAGGAAAGAGTCTGCTAATTTCAACTTTCTGCAAGCCGGAAGTCCAAGCAAGCCTGGAACACCCTGCACCTAACCTTAGTGTTCTGGAGAAGATTGTCTGGGCGGGAGAGCAGCCCGAGAGCGGAGCGGAGAGGGGCGTGGCTGGGGCGTGGTGTGTGGAGAAGGGGGGGGGGGGGGGGGGCGACGGCCGTTAAAGCGCGCCCGGCCCTGTGGTGGAGCCCAGGGATGAAGCAACTGTGCTGTTCCTGTCTGTTGTGGCTTGGACTCCTACTGGCTCCTTTCTCCCTGGAACAAGAGGTCTCCATACCCAGGAAGCTGTGCGGCAGGCACCTGCTGATAGAAGTTATAAAACTCTGTGGCCAAAGTGACTGGAGCCGGTTCGAGATGGAGGAGCAAACTCCTATGACACAGTTCGCTCCCCAGTACTCAAGGAAGGTCAAAACCTTTAACCCTCACCGCTCTTCCTCTGCCTGGGGAAGATTCACAAACCCAGGTAAAACTCTGAAGGGAAGGCTTGTTAGCTTATCAGTGTGCAAACTCCTCTTATCCTCTACTTTGGTCTGCCAGTGGATTTCTATAGGAAATAGAATTTGTGCCTAGTGTACCTGTAAATACAATTTTTAAAAAAATACCATACAAACTAATATGAAGTCTATTTTAGACTTAGAAGAAATACTTTGCTCATAGTAGGCCTTATTAAAAAGATGACCTTTGGCAAAAGATGTTGCTATGGTTTCATGTATACCCCAAATTCCATGTGTTATAAGTTTAATTTCCGGGACAGTGTTAGGAGGTAAAGTGAGGAAATTAAATGCCCTTGAAATAGATTCAGGCCATGACCACAGACGTGGATTGTCTTGAGTGAATCTATTGCAAAATCAACTTCATCTTCCTTTTCCTGCACCTCCACTATGGAATGATGCTACAGGAAAAGTCCTTGGACTTTGTAGCATCTCCCAAATTCATGAATCAAATAAATTCTTGTTCATTTGAAATTAACCACTGTCAGGCATTGTCAGAAAATGGATATTAGGTGGTGAGGGACTAGTCAGCCACATAGATGGGCGGGTGGGGTGGGGGAGTTTATTTAGAGAAAACGGCAGGGGGAAAGACACTGCTATCTGAATTATACCGGGGAAGAGCAAGGAGGTCAGGATGTCTGGAACAGGAAGGGGAAGAAGCAGCAGAGTAGGGCAGTAAGGTTCGTCTAGAAGGGCTGATAGAGGTAGGAAAGCAAAATCAACAGAACAATTCATGTGAAGTAAAACTTAGTAAAGGACACAGGGAAGGACAAGGGCGGATGAGATGCATTTGGGCATGGATAGTTCATCTATGCAAATAGGTAGAAAGGGAGACTACATCGGGGCAGATGAAAATACTCTGGTTTGCAGCAGTGCTGAAGGTGAATTAGTATGATGAATTGCATAGATAGATTTCGTGATCTTGACCTACCCTTACCTTTCTGGTATAAGCCTTTCTCCTATGTTGTAAAATGTGTTTATAGATTCACTTAACGAATTTTATAGTTTTTTTTTTCAAGGCAGTGTTTGTAAGTGAAATGACTTAGCAGAACTTTAAAAAAAATTTCAGGGCTGGAGAGATGGCTCAGTGGTTAAGAGCACTGACTGCTCTGCCAGAGGTCCTGAATTCAATTCCCAGCAACCACATGGTGGCTCATAACCATCTGTAATGTGATTTGATGCACTCTTCTAATGTATGTCTGAAGATAGCTGCAGTGTGTACTCATATAAATAGATAAATCAAAAAAATAAAGAAATAAAAAACACTTCAGTGTTCTCACTTGATTTGGAAATAGGGAATTAGTGAGAGTCATAAAATAAAATGGAACCTGCTTGTAAACCACTTTCCTTTAAAAATAGGTGGACGTCACCTCTAAAACCATCTATGTGTGATTAGTTTTGCTTTTGATTTCTTTGTCATCGATGTGCTTAAGTTTCGTATGTCTGTGTCTTTTAAGGTTTTCATAGGAATTCATTTCAATCTGATCTCAAATGTTAGAGAATTAATAATCATCTAGTATCTATACTATATCCTCTTTTCTTACTGATTTTGTCCCCTTTAATCTTTGTTTTCTTGTTTAGTTATAATTCTGTCTTATTAATCGCAATAGCAGAAAAGGGCAGTAAGCTGCATCCTCTAGCTTCAGGGGGACATAGCATCCCTAGCAAAACGTCCCAATGAAAGAGGGTGGTGGGAAGAAAGATCCAGTAATGGACTCAGAAAAGCCAAGAATCCATGCAGACTCTAGATCCCTCTATCTCCTTTCTTTCTCTTTTCTTCTTTCTCTTCATCCCTCTTTCTTTTTGCTCTTATGTTATTTGCATTCCTTTATTCTATGACAAGCCTCATGGAATCTTTTCAGTCTTGAAACTCACTGACTCCTCTTCCTCCTCCCCTCCATTCTCCACCTTCTCTTTCTCCTCCTCCGCCACCTTCTCCTTCTTCTACTCCCCCTCCTCCAGCTCCTCCTCCTCCTCCTCCTTCTCTTCCTCCTCCTCCTCCTCTTCCTCCTCCTCCTTCTCTTCCTCATCCTCCTCCTCTTTCTTCTCTGCCTTCTCCTCCTCTGTATCCTCCTCCTTCTCTTCCTCTTCTTCCTCCTCCTCCTTCTCTTCCTCATCCTCCTCCTCTTTCTCTGCCTTTTCCTCCTCCTCCTCTTCCTTTTTCTTCTCTTCTAATTTCTTTTTTAAATAATTTTTTTCTATTTTATTTTTTAAGGTTTATTTATTTATAAGTACACTGCAGCTGTCAACAGATACAACAGAAGAGAGCATCAGATCCCATTACAGATGGTTGTGCGCCACCATGTGGTTGCTGGGAATTGAACTCAGGACCTCTGGAAGAGCAGTCAGTGCTCTAACCATTGAGCCATTTCTCCAGCCCTTCTCTTCTAATTTCAAACTGCAGAAATATCACTGAACCGATTAGTTTCCCCCACACACCATGGATCATCATCCCCCATAATAGATTTCTTCCTTTGAGCTTATAGTGGGTTAAGGATGCAGAGTGCAGCTCACAGAGCTGAATCTGTGGTTAAAGCCTTGGAAAAAAATTATCCTTCTAGGCAGTACTAAATATGGCCATGGTAGACATCCATAATGTCTCTGAATAATTGCATCCAGGAATTATTTTAGCTTCTATCATGCGGTATCCAATAAGAACAATGTAACAGTAAATCTGTACGTGGAGTACAACTCCACTGCATACTTCTTTATATTTTATTGAAGAATGAAGTGCTTCTATTAGCCACTTAGTTATAACATACACACAAAAAGAGCTACTGATTGGAAATAATCAAAGGCAAACACTGTAAATAAATGAACACAGGGTTTAATGGGTATTTCAACAAAGGTGACATATGAAGCCATGAGATGATGTTCATAGGATCCAGCAACTTCACCCCTAGGGTTATTATACCCAAAGGACTGAAAACGCCAACACACAAAAATGTGGGTGTGAATAGCCAGGGCAAGTGCCATTCATAATAGCCAAGAAGTGAAGACCACCAAGGAACAAGCTGACAGATGGATGAGTGAAATGCATTGTGGGAAAGCCACACACTTGGAAGTTGTTTAGCCATGAAAGGAATAAAGGAAGGGCACATATGGCTAAACATAGTTAAACATGGAAAATACTATGCTAATTGAAAGACAGACAAAAATGACCACCTACCAAAAGCTACCATGTGTGTGAGATGTACCGAATAGACGAATCCATGGAGACGAGGTTAGATGACGGGTAGTCTAGCGTTAGAGGGAGAGATGGTGGGCGAGACTGTTAGCAGTGGCTGCTAAGCTTTCCGTTTGTTTGTTCTGGTTTTTATTGTTTTTGAGAGGTGAGAAAAATGCTCTGGAATTAGAAAGTGATACGGGGCCGTACAATCTTGAAGACCCAGTAGGAGCCACTGATTTCAGTGTTGATTACTGTTGTAAAATGCTGAATTTAACAGCACATGAGCGGTATCACGGTAAAAAAAAAAATGTTATTACAAAATATTCAAAGGTTGATAAGCCTTCTCATAGGAGAGCACCACAACTGTTTTACTTTAAAACACATTGCCTCTGAATAGTTGTACTTCTCAACTTTTATTTAAAATGATTTTTAATTATTACCTGATTTTAGTATTGTAATATTACATTCATATCTAATAGAAGATTTGGATAAATAGGACTTTTCTCCCCATTGTCTCTCGACAGTCCCTGCAGGTGCCTCCCAGGAGAAAGCAACACACACTTGGGAACCTCAGCCACTGCCCGACTATCAGTTTGAGAAGGCGGAGTTGCTTCCTAAGACAAGAGTGTTCTCATACCACAGGGGCAAGCCCTATGCTAAGAGTGTAAAACTTCAGAAGAGAAGCACAAACAAAATGAATACCTTCAGCAGTTTACACTGGGGGAATCATCCCCAAAGGAAACGCAGAGGTTTCGCAGATAAATGCTGTGTTATGGGATGCACCAAAGAAGAACTGGCCGTTGCGTGTCTCCCATTTGTTGATTTTTAAGCCTTAACGAATAAACAAACATCACTGTACAAACTGTCGTAGAAACTATGCTCACTTAATAAAAGCTTACTAAATCTAATTTATTACTTATTTGTCCTCGGAGCTCTGCTTGGAGGGGCAGGACTGAGCTACACTAGAGAATATCCGCAAGTGGTTTGCAGTGTTTTGTGGTAATAACGAGAATCTTAAGTGTTTAGTGACTCCCATTTTGTCGTATATTTTTAAGGAAGATGTAGAAGTGCCATAATCCATGTAGGTGTTGAAAATTACCTACTCAGGTTTTGTCATGGTTGAAAGCTCTTAAGTTGGGTTTGAATGGAATACAGAATGTTATGCATTATTCTGTCTAGATGATTTAAAAAAAAGACGCATGTCCGTAACTACGGGCTCATCTCATCCAGCTAATTTGTCTCAGGATCTTAAAGCAGCTAACTATGCCCCTCGCACAAGCTATTGTACTGTAATAGTAGACACAGTTTTTTAGGGCCTTGAGTTTCATCCATGTACCATTTCCCTACCGAGCCATCTCACCAGCCCTGTGTGAAATAATTTTAATGCTACAAAGCTGAGCAAAACTTGAAGGTTCCAAAGTCGAATCATTCAGAAGCTCTTTCTTGTTTCCTTCCCAGGTACGCCCTGTAATCCCTGCTCAGTATAACATATTTCTGTTCCTCTTCAGCTGCATTATGTCTTAGGACAAAACTCCCTTTCTGCACAAATCTACATTTCTGGTGCATTTGTAAAATGCTTTGTTTTTCTACTGCTTTCAAATTTCACCCTTCACATTAACCTTTGTAAATAGAGAGAAGTTGTTGTTTGTTTGTTTTTTTTTAAACAAATTTATGTAATGTCATGGTTGAATAGGTCCACAGGCTTTAGATGAAAATGTACCTTTACTACGGACAAAACTTTAGCTCTGTTAAGGAAATGTAACTCTAACGTCAGATCTAGGCATTACGGTAAGAAAGGACAAAGAGCAGCCCCCAACCACAGCAAAGCTTTAAGCAAAAAAGTATAAAAAAACAAACAAACAAACAAAAAAAGGCTCACCAAACTGCTGAAGGACACAATCTGGCGCTGGCTAAAAGTTAAAGAAGGAATGTCTTTGGTCCACATTGCAAGCAGATACTGGAGAAGGCTCTCTGCTCTTCCTAGCCTATTCCTAGCCTATTGGTGCTGGGTGAGGAATCATTTTTTTTTAACATTTATTTTTTATTTTATATATATGATATACCTAATGGATGAGGACACCTAATAGCTACTCCCTTCAGACACTCCAGAAGAGGGCGACTGTGAGCCACCATGTGGTTGCTAAGAATTGAACTCAGGACAATTGGTCAGAGGAGTCAGTGCTCTTAACCACTGAGCCATCTCTACAGCCCAAAGAATCAGTTTAAAAGAGATCTTTTAGTCAAGTCTTTAGCTGGAGGAAGCAGAAGTCCGTGCAGTAATTTAAAAAAGTGTTTTTTATTTTTAAAATTAACATTCAAAACATATGGTTGTGGTTCTGTAGAGGGACAGAACCAATAGAATAAATATATGTTAAAGATTTATTAGATTGGCTTACAGAGTTTGGTGAGAGTAGTCCAACAATGGCTGTCTTTACATGGGAGAGCTGAGACCAATGCCTCAGCAGCCCCAGTCTGGTACTGAAGGCTGAGAGGATTCCTAGAGAGACACTGGTCTTCATTCAAAACTAGTCTACCCTGGAAGCTTGAAGAAGCTGGGTTCTGATATCAGGACAGGAATATAGCAGCAGCAGCAGCAGCAGCATAGGTGAACTCACAAACAAGGTAGAACTGGTCAGACAGAAGGTAAAGGGACAAAAGCCAAAAGCTTTTCCCTTAGACCTCTTTATATCTGGGTTGCCACTAGAAGGTGTTACACACATTTAGGGTAGATCTTCCCACTTAATTTAGGAAAATCCCTCACAGTTGTGCCCAAACGTTTTTCTCATAGTTGAATGCAGACCAGTTAAATTGACAAGACTAAGCTTCAGAGAGAGAGAGAGAGAGAGAGAGAGAGAGAGAGAGAGAGAGAGAGAGATCCCTCTCATTATCGCACCTTTATGCACATTTTGTTTTCTTAATCCTCCTGGGGTTCTGCTCTCCCATCCCACTGCTCCCCTGCCCTACACACGCCGTTCTCTACAGGAGCACCGCAGTAGACTCCCATGACGCATACATTCCGTTATTCTCCCCGTTCCTTAAGCCCTACTCTCGGTCCCTGCCCCAGTTATGCCTACATATGTATCACTTAAAATCTATGATCATGAGAAGAAATCTCGTGTCTTAGGATTTTACTGCTGTGAACAGATACCATAACCAAAGCAACCATTATAAAGACAACATTTAATTGGGGTTGGTTTACAAGTTCAGAGGTTCAGTCCATTATAATCAAGGTGGGAGCATGGCTGTGTCTAGGCAGCATGGTGCAGGAGGAGCTGAGAATTCTACATCTTCCTTTGAAGACTGCCAGGAGAAGATTGGCTTTCAAGTGGTTAGAAGGAGGGTCTCATTGTCCACCCTGACAGTGACACACTTTCTCCAATAAGGCCACACCTCATAATAGTGCCACTCCTTCAGCCAAGCATATTCAAACCACCACATTCCACTCCCTGGTGCCCATAGGTTTGTTCAAACACATGAGTCTATAGGAGCCGTACCTACTCATAACATAATGCAAAATACATTTAGTCCAACTTCCAAAGTCTCATATTCTATGGCAGTTTCAACAATGATAAAAGTTCAAAGTCTCTTCTTAGATTCATCCACTCAGGTAACTGTAATCCCCAAAGCAAGACAGGAAACCAGCTGGGCAAAGTTCAGACTCTGTATCTCCATGTCTGATGACAAAGTGGTCTTCAGATCTCCAAATCCTTTTTCATCTTTGTTGACTGCAGCAAACTTTTTTCTCCTGGGTTGGTTCCACTCCCCATTAGCAGCTTTCCTCGGCAGGTATCCCACGGCTCTGACATCTCTAACATCTTGAGGTCTCCAAGAAAACTTCAACTTCATGGCTTCTTGTTTCAATATCTGGGCTCCACACATGATCTTCTAGGCTTCTCCAAAGGGCCTGGGTAACATCTCCAGCTCTGCCCTCTGTAGCACTCGAGGCTCTGGTTGAGTCTACTCCACTGCTGCTGCTATTCTTGGTGGTCATCTCATGGTACAGGCATTTCCAATATGCTGGGGTTTTCTGCTACAACTAGGCATTATCAGTAGCCTCTCATAGGTTCTCTTTATGATGCCAAACCTAACTTCTTTGCAGAACTCCTTCAGTCTCAGCCTGCCAACTACAACTAAGGCTGCATCTTCACCAATGGCCTTTCCTGGCCTTTCACAGTGCCAAGTCTCAGCTGCTCTCCATGACCCCTTCCTGCCATCAAATTCTTTTTTTTTTTATTGGATGTTTTATTTACATTTCCTATGTTGTCCCCTTACCCCATCCCCCACCCACCCAGGAACCCCCAATCCCCTCACCCCTCCTCCTTCTTCTCTGTGGATGTAACCTCTATCTACTCCCCCCACTCCCACCTCCCCACCCTCAAAATTCCCACCCCCTGGGGCATCCAGCCTTCATGCGGTCAAGGTTCTCTTCTTCCACCTATGCCCAGCAGGGCCCTCCACTCTTACATATTCAAATGAAGTGCTGGATCCCTCCCTAAGTGCTCCCAGGCTGGTGGTTTAGACCCAGGGAGCTATGGTTGGTTGGTATTGTTGCTCTCCTCATGGTGCCACAAACCCTTTCAGCTCTCCTTCAGTCTTCACTCTAACTCCTCTATTGAGAACCCCATGATCAGTTCAATGGCTAGTTGTGAGCATCTGCCTCTGAGTATGTCAGACTCTTGAAGACCTCTGAGGAGATATCCATATCAGGCTCTTATCAGCATGCACTTCCTGACTTCCACATCAGCCTCTACCTTTGGTGATTGCACATGGGATAGATACTCAGGTGGAGTGGTCTTGAAACTGCCCCTCCTTCAGTTTCTGTCCCTCACTTTGTCTCCATATTTTCTCCCTTGAGTATTTTGTTGCTCTGCAAGATGGTGCAACCACTTTGGAAATCAGTCTGGCGGTTCCTCAGAAAATTGGACATAGCATTACCTGAGGATCCAGCTATACCACTCCTAGGCATATACCCAGAAGATGCTCGAACATATAACAAGGACATATGCTCAACTATGTTCATAGCAGCCTTGCTTATAATAGCCAGGAGCTGGAAAGAACCCAGATGTCTTTCAACTGAGGAATGGATTCAAAAAATGTGGTATATTTACACAATGGAGTATTACGCAGCTATTAAAAACAATGAATTCGAGAGGTTCCTAGGTAAATGGATGGAACTAGAAATTATCATCCTGAGTGAGGTAAGCCAATCACGAACACACATGGTATTCACTCACTGATTATTGGATATTAGCCCAGAACCTTGAAATGCCCAAGATGCAACTCACAGGCCACATGAAGCCCATAAAGAAGGAAGACCAAGTGGGGGTGATTCGGTCCTTCTGCCATCAAATTCTTACATATTATCAAATCCAGCTACAGCATGAGATACAATCTTGACTATCTCTGGAACACGGCTTCTTTGTGCTCTCAGAAAACACATCCCAGAAGATTTTACCTCAGTGATGCTGGTGTCTTTCTAATCAAGACTAATGTCTTGGCTCCAGATAACCAGCATCAATTGTCCCAATAGTCCCTTCTATTTTGGACTCTAAAGCCAGAGAGAGCCACATGGCAGAAGCTGCCATGTGCTTGTTGGAGCTAGAATATGGTCCCCTTGTTCTATTACAGTATCACCAGCTTTCTGTTTTCCAACTCCTTCACTGCTTAAGCTTGGCTACCCTAGAATTTTCTTTGTAACTTGAACACAGATCTGCATGGATGTGTCTCCTGAATGCTGGGATTAAAGATGTATACCACCACATCTGGACTTAAGCTTTCCTTCACCTAGAGCTTGTTCTGTTCCAGGCTGGCCTTGAACTCAGAGATCTGCTTGCCATTGTCTCCTGGAATTAAAGGTGTATACTACCATGCCTGAGCCAAAACTTTTCAAGGACACTATTCCCCAAGA